ATTAAGAAATGGTAAAAAAATATATCAATTTTGAAATTTTTTATCGTTCTCGGCATAGATTCCACTTCCCACACACGTATTAATGCGTATACTTTAATCCTGGAAAAGGATTTTCGAATTGGTGAAAGAGGAAAAAAGGGGTGGCACCCAGTTGGACACGAGCCACTCACAGCGCTTGAGACTACAATGCTCCTAAGCACCGGTCGCTGTGATTGGTAGTGTCCAATCGAGCCGTTATCAATCGGGATCACCTCCAAAAATTATGTGATTTAATCGGTAAAATAGGAGGAGGTAAATTATGGATTTAATCGGTAAAATTTAGAATCCCTTTAACTAGATCATAATAAGCGCTTCACTTAAATTCTTATTAAGGCGATGCTAAAGCCTCCTGTTTTACCACATTTCCATTCGGTGAAAAATCTCTGTATTGGATGTACGGATTGCAAAAGTATTATTGCTTAAATTAAAGTACGCACAAACAGAGCCTCAGCTGCACTGGATTTCCTGAGAAAATCGAAAAAAAGTTTAAGATTCGTTAAAAATTCACTTACTTTTGGCTCGTACATCTGTCACCTCAGATATATATTTACTTGATATAAGAGTTTTAGAGTTCATATCTTGAAAATAAGCGTGCAGCTGAGGTCACATTATTGAAACGAACGATACCGAGTTTGTAGAACTAAGATTGAAAGTCGAGAAAAGAAATATTTCCACCGAATAGAAAATACGTGCATACGAAGACTGGGACTGTCAACAGAACCGAAATTCCGTGTAGCAGTAGTTGCGCGGTCTTGCGATAGATGGTGCTGGCATATGTTAGATAAGAACAGATGTATGCGTTTGAGTAAGACAGAATGATATATATTATATAATATAATGTAAAAACTAAATCAAAGATGTCACCACTATTATCGAATTTGGAATTAAAAAAGTCTGTACTATCGACTTTGATTGAGTTGGGTAATCGGTTTAGCATCCCCTTAAATACTGAAGAAATGAAAAAATGCATTTTTTATTTTAGTATCTATACAAATAAATAATATTTGTAAGTTTTATGAATATACCGCAATTTTATAAATTTTATTTCGCAATTGCATAGCGAAATAAATGTCTTTAATTTGATTCCTCGAATTTTACTACAGAAACGAAATACGGACTTTTAAGGTTTATCTTATCATAATAAATGAATCATAACTGCTATTGATTGCTCCGATGAGATAAAATATATCATTCGAATAATTTTTTATCAGTTTTCGTTATAATGCACGGTGAGATGGAATTCTACTTCTATTTGATGAAATATTCTAAGTAATATTCTATATTTCAAATCGAGTGTAACTTGAGGCAATAGTTTATCATAAATTGCTAATTATTTTTATGTAAAAGTGTAAAATACAAGTATTATTTGTAAATGAGTGAAATGAATTATTTTTGCAATATAAGAGTACACATTTTTAACAACATTTATGTATTGTTTAATAAGTAAACCTTTTTAAATATTAATTGTATACCTTGTAAAGATTTATATAATATAAAGTTTTTAAAATAAAACTTTTACAAAACTAACACATATTGAATAAGATTATAACGTGCAGTCAATTGATAATATATTAATTAATAATCGATGATTCTCTCTCTCTCTCTCTCTCTCTTCTCGTTAAAATCAAATTATTTAAAATGTACACAAAATTAACAATCTTCTAATAAATAAATTGTTTATAGATATCTACTTGTAAAACGTTAATTTGATCAAATTGTATGTTTAAAGACTCCATGTTAATATTATTGAGCATATATACATATATATTGATTCTAAAACAAGAATAGGAGATAAAACTCGATACATATATATATGTATTTAAAAGTGATACATTCATGTAATTAACATCTACTGTATCAAACAGATACTGTATTTATATTTTATTAATTATATTTATAATAGAAAAAGAAATAGAAAAAGAAAGCTATTGTTTATCTTTTTTTCAATACAATCCTTGTAATTATTTTATAATTTCCAAACGATAAAGGAAACAATGGTTAACCGACACCTGCCACTCGTTGAACTCGAGCCTAGGAAACATCACGCGCTAAGCTTAACTAGACTGAAGATATATCAAATGTCAAGAATCTTAAGAAGGTCTGCTTCCGTTGGCAAGGGATCGATGGGATCCATAAATTCATCAAAAAAACAAAACATTCGCAGGTACGAATAAATATACAATACAATATATTATAAGGCTAAGAACCAACTCAAGATAATAAATGATTAACAATATTATTGTAAGCAATATAAAAACGTACAAACGTTTCGACCGCTATCGGTTCTTCTCAATGTTAAAATAATAAAAATAAATTTAAATGTTACTGGTAACTACACTGTTAGAAATGTTCTTAAATTTCATTAACTTTTAATGTACATTGGTGAATGAAGTTTAATTTCTCTGTAACTGAAAGGACTATTAACGCACATGTTAATGAAATTTAAGTTTACAGTAACTGAAAAATTAAGTGTAATGAAATTTAATATACTTTTATAAATGACATTTAATTAATCGTAACTGAAATAACTATTAATGTACATATTAATGAAATTTAAGTTTGTAGTAAATTAAATTTCAATACGCTTAACTTCGGTATCGAATTAAGAATTACACTGAAGGACGAAGCGCCTATCTATTAGAGTCCACGGCGTTTAGCGTTAAAAGAGAAAGGTATTGTCGAGAAACAGGTGAATGATTGGATAAGTGAGGGAATTGTTGAACCTTGTTCGTCCGAATATGCGAGTCCCGTAGTGATTGTTAAGAAAAAAGATGGTTCTCCTCGATTATGTATCGATTACAGGAAACTAAATAGATTAATGGTCAAAGATAAATATCCGCTGACCGCTTCCGATAATAGAGGATCAAATAGATCGATTAGCAGAAACTCGCATATTCAGTACGATAGATCTTAAGGTTGGATTTTTTCATGTCGACGTAGAGAAACAAAGCCGTAAGTATACTGCTTTTATTACACATCAGGGGCAGTATCACTTTTCAAAAGTGCCTTTTAGTTTGTGCAATTCGCCTCCTGTCTTCCAAAGGTGTATAAATCAGATCTTTCGTCCTCTTGTTAACGAAGAGATCGTATTGCTATATTTAGACGACTTGATAGTAATTGCAGCTAGTGTAGAAGAGGGTATAAGACGCTTACGTGGAGTTCTTCAAATAGCAAGTGACTACGATTTAGATATCAATAAAAGTAAATATCAGCTGCTTTAACCAAAAATAGAATACCTTGGATACACAATAGAGAACGAAAAAATCTATCCGTCCCCCGATAAAGTAAAGGCTGTTTTGATTTTCCTAGAGCCAATCTCATTAAAAGACGTTCAAAGTTTTCTTTGACTCTTCGGTTATTTCCGAAAATTGATCGAATCTTACGCGATTAAGGCAAAGCCTCTTAGTGATATGCCCAGGAAAGAAAATTCATTCCAGTTTACCTCTAAAGAGAAAGAGTCCTTTCAACAATTGAAGTTAGATTTAAGTCGCGACCCCTCCCCCCCCCCCCAAAAGTGAAACCGAATTGCATATTGACGCGTGTAAAGATGGTTTCGGGGCAATATTATTGCAAAAAAGTCCTAACGATGACAAGTGGCATCTGATACATTATATGAGTCATAAAACAACAGAGGTCGAATCTAGATATATCTAGATTATAATCTATGATTGCTTGCATTTATTAAGATATTTGGGATTATTTGAACAATTATCAATTGTTATTAATCGTAATTTGTTTTTATTAATTTGTTTCAGGACAATTTCATTTGAATCCGTCGATGTATCGCAATGTTTGATATGCGAGGGCAAGATAAATTTACCTATGATAATGAAATGTCGGCATACTTTCTGTCTGCAATGTTTCAAAAATCGTCTTATAATATCACGCAAAAGAGGTATATTATATCTGAAATACTATTTTTTATAATTATTTTATGGTATAAATTTTTATATAATTTATGGTATAAATTATAGTCTGTATTTTTATTCATTATTTTTAAGCCGTCTACAATTTTAATTTTTATTTTAATTAAGCCGTTTATAATTTAATTCAATAATTATATTTTGTTTTGTTTAACATTGAGAATGACCTGATCAAGGTCGAAACATCGTTTGTAGCTATATCTTTGTCTAATACACTATATTATTTACATTACATCATTTCTTTTGGCTCGTAGCCCTTCTCGACACAATTTTATTTATATTATTTGAGCCATTTTTCACTATATATTTTATTTTACGCTGGCTAAAATATGCGTTCACCACACATTCCTTATTATTTTACTTTCTCTTTTATTAGGAACAATTTTGATTTTAACGTTTGCGAAGTTTGTAGTAAATTAAAAATGTTACTCTCCATATTAGGATTTGTATAAAAAAAAAATACCTCATATATGTATACAGGATATAGTGTAACGGTCCACATAATTTTTCAAACACTTCCGATAATTAAAAAAGAAATTGATGAGTGGGTATTCATCTGTTTTATATCGGGTACAACATGTGATAAAGAAATTAAAAAATATTTATTTTTTATAAGGAAATCAAAGTCTTAAATTTTTTAAATGTCATTATACAATTTTTTCTATAATATTGTAAGAGTCTTCAAGACAAATTCAAATCACTGTCGAAATGTCACTTTTATTGATGTTTTATTGATTTCATTGCATATTTTATTAAATAAGTACATGTATGTACATATGTTCTGTGTATAGTCAGAGGTCGTAAGTACTACTGTTACAAATAATGTTACAAATTTGATATTAAGTATCAATAAAATCAATAAAACATCAATAAAATTGATATTTCGGTAGTGATTTAAATTCGCGTCTTGAAGACCTCTACTATATTACGGAAAAAACATTGTATGTTATTACTTGAAAATTTTTGACTTTGATGTTTTTATGAATCAAAATATTTAAAAATTTTTTTTTATCACATATTGTAGCCTGTATAAACCAGATGAGTATTCACATTTCAACTTTTTTTTAACTGTCGCAAGTATCTGAAAAATCGTATGGACCGTTACGCTAAATACTCTGTACAAACCACAGGTAGAATTATGATAACTATTATTATTTATATTTCAGACAGCAGTCCTATTTGCCCTGTTTGCAATGTAGCAGCAGTGACTACAAAAGCAAATAGGAAAGAATCGAAAAGTGCATTAAGCTTTGTGCCTTTATCACCAATACTATATGATAAGAGTTGCCGTACTTGTAGTGAAACTTGTAAGAATGTCAACAAATGTAAACACTGTAAACGCGTAAGTATATAAGTTTATTTAAAGATGCGGGTTAAACTTTTCGTTTCAGGAAAATTGTAAATCCATGTAGAAACTCGCTTTGCGTTATAAACACTATTCGTAGATGTAGTATGTTACACCGTCCCCTTGAGGAAAAATTTTACTATAAAAAACTAGAAACATAAGCTTTGGATTGAATCTCGCTTTGTGTAAAAAGTTGTAAGTTCATGTATAAATACATATATGTATTTACACATAAATTTACAACTTTAATTCTTGCGTGAAGCATTCTAAAGAGGTTTCGGTAACAATGGATTCTTTCCGGAATTATGCTGTTAACCTAATATTCATTCCTCGGGCTTGGGCCCGAGGGATCCATACATATACGGGGTAGGGAATTTTAATTGCCCCAGGCGGATATCTCAGAAGCTAAAAGAGATACGGGAAAAAGTGGTATTTAAAAGTTGCAGGCTTCCTTGGAAAAAAGAAGGTGGAAATAACAGATTTTATATATGGAGCATTATCAAGATCAAGTCAACATGAATTTTTTTTATAGAAACCAATATTTTCTATTAGATATTCTTGTAGTTGAAGTCAAGGAGTTTTCAAAACACTATAATAAAATATTTTTTCAATAAGCACTTTTCGAGTTATAAGAGACTTGACAGTTACTGTACTGCTAACATTAACATTACGTAAGGTGTACCACGTAGAGATTACTTATTGTTAGTAGTCAGATTTAATCCGTACGTATGTGCCTATGTGAATGGGGGAGAGAAAGGGGAGTCAAAGTTACACGTACTCTGTTCTTGTTTTTATTTATTATCTGGACTGATTATGTTTGATTATCAACTAGCTCCGGATCAACTGACGTTATAGTTTTAAAGAATCACAAAAAAACAGAATTTTTCCAACTTTTCCGCGGATCTTTTCGGTATTTTTCCCAAGAATAGAAAAATTTATTGGAAAAATTCACGCGTTTTCGTAAAACCTGTCATATTTGTTTCTTGGTTCTTTCGTAAAGAAAATAATTGCCTATAGGATACAGCCGACAGTGAGATAATTTGGAAACACAAATATATAAAATGAGGCTCGAAAGAATCTATCAGTAAAAACTAAAAAAGCCCATCAGAGCCTACATCTGCTGTTCGGATGCACAGAAAACACTTTATTCTCGTGTGAATGTAACAAAATGAATCAAATATAAACGTTTCAACCCTTCAATTTGGGTCCTTATCAATATAAAATATAAATCTAAATTACATAAGTAACGCAAATTCCAAAATGGTGATTCCGGGATATTTTAGCTCGTTCTTCTTTATCCAAACGCCAAATTAGCTATGTAAAGAATAACCAAATAATTATCAAAAATTAACTTATACAATAATAAATTTTTATTGATTAACACCAGTGTCACGAACACACAACAAAGAGTAAACTAAAAAGGTTGAGGTTGCCATCTGTCGATTGAAGTTCGAGACGTAATCCATGAGCCAGGCAGACAATAATAATGTTTCTTAAAATTTGAACAAAATTTGGAACTAGTTGCGATACCTCCCACTCGTAGGGTAAATAGAAAAAAAATAAATGCACTCTTTCATTACACAATTCGGGTACATGCTATCGATTAACCATGCATAGAATTTGATCGGCATAGTCGTCATTGAGATATTATAATCGTGATCTCGGAAAACTCATCGCTCCGCGTAAAGTTACCTGGCAATGTCTCGTGCTAAAACGCTACGCGTTTCCTTAGCGCCGAAACACTACCGTGTCTCTGGAAAAAATAAAAGCACGTATAATACAATGAGTATAAGTTGTCGATTAAGTGTACCTAAAACTTGATCGGGACAGTTGTTATTGAGATCCGATAATCTCGATTTGGCTCAACTCTGCTCGCGTATAGGAGCATGGCAGTGTCTTAGCGCCGAGACACTACCGTTGAATCTTAACATATCTTACTTAGCTTAAACATTTTGAATCTTAACATTACAGAGATTCTGTGATGACTGCTGGTCAAATCATGTCAACGAATTGAAAGATGAACTAGTTAATATAAATGGAGATCTCAAGACAACAGCAAAAAGATTTGAATATAAAATAAGCAACTTTCAGGTAGTTGTAATTGATTAATTAATTAACCTTTTTAGATTAAAAAATATTTTTTAAATATTTAAACTATAAATATCTGAAAAAAGTTAAACGTTTTTTAAGCCTAGAAACGCAAAACGTTGCGTTTAAAATTAAGCAGAAGATAATGTAGGCTCAAAAAATATATCTGTTTATGGAACATTCCATGTAAAAGTGAACCACCCATTTTCAAAAACGTTCCGAATTTTGACGAAACTTATTGATATTGATGGGTTTGAGGATGCAATCTGTTGTGCAAAGTCTTAGACTCTTAGTCCAGATAGTTTAGTAACAGTAAAAGAAAGAAAAAAAGAATTTTGCGATGTGTGGTTGTACACATTTCTTTCTAGATTTTTTTTGATGAAAAGTGGAATTAATAAAATAAAGTTAGTGCAGTTTCCTACAGACAAGTTTGTTCTTTCACGTGGTGATATCCTATTTTGAGTAACTCTTCATTATCATTCCTGTTCAAGTATTTGAAATCTTTAAAGAATATAATCAGGGGTCGCAATATAATCAGGGGCCAGTATCGATTTATGTTCTTAATAGTTCTAAATATAATACCCCAGACAGCACATGACGTCCTCAGGATCATCCTGACTATGTATCAGGACATCTTGAGACATTTTGAGGACATTTATATATCCGAGAAACGTCCTGAAGACGTCCTCAGAACATCATCTTTCCTCAGGACACTTTTAGAACAGCCTGAGGGCATCCTTAAGTTATCCTGGGAACAGCCTCAAAACGTCATTTTCAAAACTTTCTAGGATAGTTTTAGGACGTCCTGGAGACAGCCTTATGACATCTTGAGGATAACCTTAAGACTTCTTGGGGATAGCCTAAGGACGTCATCTTTAAGACTTTTAGGACAGTTTCAGGACATCCTCAGGTCATCCTGGGACGGTCTCACGTCGTCATCTTCAGGACTTCCTAAGACAATCTCGGGATGTCCTGCAGACAGCCTTATGATATCTTGTGGATAGCCTTAACACGTCTTGGAAATAGTCTAAGGATGTCATCTTCTCAACTTCGTCATTGTCATTTCCTGACTAATCATAAGTTAATAAATACCAGCGTATTATTTTGTTTCCATATAATCTCCTCAAATATTAATAATATTGAACTGTCAGCAGAGGCATGAAATCAAGCGAAAACCGAGTAGTCGGATACAAACTTTGTCTTGTATCGCTGTCTTTTCGAAATTATATCTCCAAAATTCTCAGAATGCGGCTTCGTACGATGAAAGTCGCCATGTAGTACTATATTTAGAGCTATTAAAAATAAAAATTGGTACTGGCACCTGATTATGGCGCGAATTTAAAGATTTCAAACACTTGAACAGCAATGATAATGAAGAGTTACTCAACATAGGACATCACTACTTGAAAAAGCAGATTTTTTTCTGTAGAAAACAGCACTAACTTCCTTTTATTAATTCCACTTTCAATTAAAAAAAAATCTGGAAAGGTATATGAATAATGACAAAAAAATCACAAAATTTCTTCCTTTTGCAGTTACTAAACTAGTTGGATTAAAAGTCTAAAACTTTGCACAACAGACTGCATTCTCAAACCCATCAATATCAGTAAATTTCATCAAAATCCAGAACGTTTTTGAAAATAGGTGGTTCACTTTCACATGGAATGTCCCATATGTATACTTACATACGAAACAGTTAATTAATTCTTTGATTACAGACTAAAGCAAATGAAACAATAAAATTCGTCAATAGAGACATAGAAATTAAAATATTTGAAATTAATAAAAAAAGGGAGAGTCTCATTAAGAAAATTGAACACATGATCGCGGCCGAAGAAGTATCAGTTAATAATATAAGACAAAAGATGCAGAAAACTCAGATAGAAATTAGGCAACAGAAGGAAGTATCATATGATACATTATCTAATAATGAGGAAAAGGTATGAAATTGTTAACTTTTAATATTTTAAATAACGCTATACCAAGCCAAGTTTGCTAGCGGTGCCAAATTTTTTTAAATAAAAAATTTTTCTATTTATTAAAGACCACTTTAATTTCATTCTTTAAAAGTAGTTATACAACATTAGTGTTTTAATGAAATGTATTTTCTTTATAAATAGCGCAATTTAAAGATTTCACATATTTTTGAACAAAATTATTATTACTTTAATAGTTTGGAAAATAGGTTTGGAATAGGTTTGGGATAAAAAATCATTTTTTTCTTCAAGGTGCACACATATAAGCGCATATATTTAGCGCCTTTCTTTTACTTTTTTGTAAAAAAGGTAATTTTAGTGTGTTTTAAAACACACGAAGATCTCGTGGTTCACTGTTGTGGTTGGCTTTATTTTACTTTGTTTGATTTATTCCTCGGAGCCTGTTACTCGTTTTGCGAATACTTTAATTTTTATCAATTAAATAAAGAAATCTATTACGGATGCACCGGATCGTAAAATTACCGGATACCGGATATCGGATATCTGGATGTAACTTCGGATATCTGGTACCTATTCGATCGGATATCCGAGAAGGCAATTTTATCGAGTCGGATATCCGATATTTTCGGATATCCGACCGGATTCCGAGAAAGTATCTTCAAAAAAATCTATAGAGAAAAAGATTGTAATTTTGCAACAATGTATAAGATATTATATCATTATGAATATGCATATTTATTTCTAGAACATTTGTATAAGAAAAAATCAACAATTTTAACCGGATATACTCCTAGATATTAATAATATCCGGCTATCTCTGGTCAGATAGTAAAAAAGTGCCGGATAATACTGGATACTTTCCGGATATCCGATGCATCTCTAGAATTTATTCTATGTGAATACATGCAATCATGTAATAAAATGTATATATATAGTGTCTCTAGTCTTTGATAGAGACCGGTTGTAGACCGAAAAGCTACCACAATTAAACCTTGCACTTCGATGTAGCAGCAAGCTCGCGGAAATGCAAGATTTCTACTACACCCGATCCTTGCACTTTAACTTGGTAATGAGCCGCGGAAATGCAAGACTGCAAATTCGGCATCCAAGCGCAAACGCATTTAACTATTTTGTAATTATATTTAATATAATCTAGTTATATTTAATCTAGTTATATTTAATAATATTTAATAATCTAATAAATCGCATGTAATAATTTTCAAGATTAGAAAGATGTCACTGCGTATCTCACGACTTATGAGATCAAGATTAGAAAGAGACTTAACGTATTTCCCTCTCTTTCGTGTGATTTTAAAAGAGATTCTGAAGAGAGAGAGTCCCTAACTAGAATCTCTAACTAGAGTCTCTATGGTTCCTCGTGTCGTAACTCTGATTAGAGGGTCTCTACCAAAGACTAGAGACATTACATTAGGAGACTGGCATAGATTTTAGTTGGACAGAGAGGGGGGAGGGGGAGGGGGAAAGGGAGAGGGAGGACAGTCGTTTTTAGTTTAGAAAATTGACCAGTTAGAGCCGATTATTCTCCTTATATTTGACTGTGATTGGTCAATTTCCTACGACTTAAACAAACACAATTTCCGAACTATCTTCAAACTACCCAAAAAGATAGAACAAATTTTAAGAAATCCTAAAGATCAAAGACCTCCACTCAGCTCCACAGGAGTATACAAAATGCCTTGTTCCTGCGGGCAAGTATACATGAGAAACCGGGAGAATGGTCAACCTACGGATCAAAGAATACCAACGTGATGTCAGGCTAAAACACGTCACGCAGTCGGCATTATCAGAACACAACATCGAAACAGGACATCAAATACTGTAATAATGTAATCTTCTTACGGACAAAGTGAACTGAAACGTACTATTTTTGGAATAAAGATTCTATTTTTGGATTGAAGAATTAAGATTGCGTATTAATTATCACGTTGACTCTCATTCGCCCTGTTTTTTGGAGTTTTTGTTTATCAAATACTGTTTAACAAAACGACCACAATAGCCAGCATTACATCATATTTTCCAAGAAAGTACAGAGAAGCCATACAGATACAAAAACACCCTAACAATCTAAACAGAGATAATGACTACAACATAAATAAAATATGGAAGACCATTCTCCCGGTTATTGAAGACCGACTAATTCCACCATCACTCCTCCCCACTACTCCAACAAGCAGCGTAATATAAAGCCGTGTATTCACCTAGCGAACGAACACCGAACGAACAGCAAACGTAAAAATTTGTATTGTTGTTTGTTACATAAAAGTCGCACAAGTTTAATTGCTACATGGAACGAACATCGAATCTGGTCGAATACCAGTATTCCGTACAATCGAGAAAAAGAATAAACTGCTCACAAATATAAACACTAATATCCGAACATTCGCGTTCGGTGTTCGTTCGCTAGGTGTATACATGACTTTAAACAAACGGCCTGGAGGAACAGCTCAGTATCAGGCCTCGCCCTGATGAAGTGGACTGCAAGGTTTACGAAACATTGACATTTCAAGAATGAATCTGTACACGGAGAAAACCCGTCAAACGCATAACCTTTAAATAATCATATTTGCTACATATTTCCAAAAATTGTTCAAAAGAAGGTTTTTAAAAGTTTTTTAGAAAAGTGATTTTCTATATCAGAAAGAATTATAAGATGAGAAATAAGGAGTCTTAAATAAACAAATTTTAATAAATTTTAAACTGCAAAATTGGATGGTATGCTTTCTATGACGGAAATTCATTTGCAATGTTCAAACATTCCGATCAGTTTTGATTTTCGCCGCTACGTGTCGCATACTTTACAGCTTTTTCTCGTACGTAAAATAGCGCATTTCTGCCAAGTTTAAAATTTATTTAAATTTATTTATTTAAGACTCCTTACTTCTCATCTTATAATTCAATTATATTTACAACAGTTATATTTATACTGCATATTGGGAGTTATTCCTAGTTTAATTATGTAATCATTCGTAACTTTTGCAAAAGTAAAGATGAGCAGCTAAATTTTTTGTTTTTATTACGGAATTCTAAATAAAAATTTTGGGCCCAATAATAATTAATTTTTTGTAGTTTTTTAAAATTAAAATTAAACTGAAAGTATATTATCGATTTTCTTGTCTTCATTTTTTTTTAAGAAAAAAACAAATTTTATTGGTTAGAACAATTCTCAATGCATGTTATTTATCACTTTTTCTTGAACCTTACATTGTTATTTTGCGGGGTTATTTTAATTTAGTATGTATAATAAATCTAATTGTCGGAAACTAATTATATGTAAAAAAAGAATTGTCTTATTTTTCATTCATAAAATTGTTGTTCAACTCAATGTTTTATATTTTTCTAAGTTTGTACTAAAAAAATATTTTGGAGAATCAGTTTCCTCTTATGTAATTTTGTTCAGTCAACGAATGATTGAAGCAATCACTGCGTATCATCATTGTTCGTCGGTTTATCAGACGATGATGAGTTCGACAATTAAGTGATTTCAGCAAATTATTCGGTGGTGCGTTACATAATTGTCAGACCAGTCAGTCATCAAGCGAATTTTCCAGTCTCAGCGAATATATATACGCGCCGACGGGTGTGGTAATAAATTATAAAAGATGATCGGTAATTAACAGTAACTGCAACTGGATAGCGTTTATGTCATCGCTGTGAATATACGCCCGCTGGTGCCTGTAGCTGACTCTTTATGGTGGGGTGTGCTTGTGACGTAAATTATTAGCCCTTGAGCTCTACAGAGAACCATCGTGTTGAGTCTACACATGTGTGCGTTTATGTGTGTGTTTCTCTCTGTTCGCGGGCGTGGTCTGGGGAGAGTGTCGGGCGTGGCTACGAGTCAACCTCGAAAAAGTTACCTCGAGAGAAAGAGAAAGAGAATACGATGAGGGAATATATTTACAGTGAATTGATTCAGAATGGATCCCATTTCGCCCACGCGAATATATAAGTTGCAAAATCTACTTTTTTTTATCGGCGTCATACTTTAAAAACAGCAGCTGAAGAAAAGTTTTCTTCGTGGGTACTCTTTATTGATATGATAATTTAGTTGTAATTCATTTGAATATGTTGGTACATAAATTTTAATGGTGTCTGAATAGAAATAACAAATACAGAATGTTGCAGATAATAGGTACATTTTTCAGATTACTATTGAAGATTCTTTAATAATAATATAATAAAAGAATATAAAAAAGGATTGAAAGATTTTTGGCAAATAAGGTCTAAATAATATAAATACATAAACAAAATTTTTCTTCTTCAATTAACTTTAATCGAATATTATGCGCGCGCGTTAAAAGAATTTTAATTTATAATATGTCCTTTTTGCGTTGAATTATATTTATAATTAAGTACTATAATATTTAATAAAGAAAAATAAAAGGTCACGAAAAATCGATTGCTTTTTATAAAATATTGTATTAAAAAATACTTTTAAAATAAATTCTTACAATAAGAGTTATAGAATAAAATATCGATAATAATAGAGTCACAGCACGAAGTAATATATGTACAGAAATGTAGGTACAGTCAAATATAAAAAGTAATTTATAGAAATTTCTAAATTGCATTCTTTTGTTTGTCATAGAGCGTAATACGGCTATGAAGTTGCAAATGTGTCTCATTCGATTTAATTACTTATAAAACAAAGACCTTCGATATCTTAAGAGACAACGAAAAATGAATAAAGAAAATAAGAAAGAGAGGGGGTGAGAGAGAGGG